TGCAGTTTACACACATCTGATTATGGAACATTTCTATTCCATAGGCTACATTAATGTATTCAGATCAGTCAAGCTGCAAGTCTTTCAGCAATCTTTCACAGAGTGAATGGCAAGAAATACTGCTGCAGGATGACCTCAAAGGAAATAACACTTTAGAGAAAGCTTCTTGTTTGCTCCCCACTCTTCAGCAGAATGCAAACTATACAGACGTGCATCAGATGTCGATGCCAAGTACCTAATGGATTCCGAGTAACATAGCCTGTATTTAACTCAAATGTTACCTACTTACTTACTATTAGAAATTCCAGCTGCTCAAAAATTATTTTCACACATCCCCTGTCAAATTCCAGTAATAATATTCAAGAGAGACATTGTCATTACAAATATAAACACATACAGAAAATTGATGCCCAAGGCATAGAGATCAAAACAAAGCACCAGAAACAGTAAACTGTAGTCTGTCAGCTCAAGTGGTAGATAAAAATAACCAAGGCCTTATCCTTTCAAGTAACTATGAAATTTGAATTGTAATCCATTTGCAAACTCAAATATGTAAGTCTAGAAATAATTTGAGGCCTCAGACTAGGAAAAACCATAGGCAGTGGCTTCAAAATGGGTTTTAGACTTTTACTTATACTGTCACTACCCAGATGGCTTACTTCACATTTTCATTAACCTCAATCCAACTCACTTGTGCAGGTTAATGAAGAAGGGCAAATATTATCCAATACTCCACACAAATTAAGTCAAAGAGGTCCAAGCACAGTCAGTAGCTCAAAAGGATGAGTAACATACTTCCTATCACTTGGTTACTGAATCCGCTTTAGCAGGGAACAAGCGAAATGTTCTCAAATAATATTTTCACAGACTGTCAAACTAAGCTGATGCTCAGTAGGAACTGATCCCAGTCACAAAATAACCACACCTACCATCCTTATTAGAAGTTTCAACAACGAAGCCAACAATGCAACTGAAATACTGAGGAGAGAATGGAGGAAAGACTCGGTGCCCTCCTTGCAGTCAAACATTTTCAAGCCCCAGGTAAGGCACAATTGAACACTGCTGCAGGAAGTTTTCTGGAGATGAATGCAGTGCATTTTAGCACAATAATGCCCAAAATGTGCATTTCTGAATTTCCTAGCTTCCCAAAGGAATCTAGTTCTTGGATCGTAGTCCCAAGCTGAGCACACCAAACTCCTCACATTTTATATAAAAATTGATTATTTTAGGTAACAAAGAACTGGAGAGAGATGGCAATCAGGATCCAAGAAGTAATATTAAGAACAAGAACTTGCTGTACTTAGTATCTATTTCTTCTTTAACATACTTTGGAGAAGCCTACAGGAAATGAATCACTGCAGTCCTCACTCTTCCATATTTCTACAGCAAACTAAAAACCCAACCATGCACCATCTACATTTATATTCTTTGCACATATGGTTTCCAACCTATTTCTCTAAATTCTTTGGCCTGTGCTAATTTATATTCAGGTTCTCCCTGAATATGAGAGTTTTGTTTTACAGTTTCCATTTTATTAGTCATCCAAGGAGGATGAAGACAGACATGATTCATTAGGCTTATCAAATCTCCAGTGACATATCTGCCATCTTTTTCAGTTTCTGCATGTTTACCAACAAACCATCAACTTCAGTTCTGCATACTACAATGAGAAAGTGACAGCTCAGTACACACATTCCTTTAATCTTAAATCCCTGTATGACAGAGAAATGATCAATCAGGATAGGAAAAACACTTCCTGCTTCATTTCCCTAATTCCCCGTTCTTTTAAAAATAAGCCTGAATATCTTCAAGAAATCAGTCACCATTTGTGGCATGAAAATCTACTTCAGGTTTCCAGTGACCAAAAACCATACTTGATGATAAATAATGGGAGCAGATCACTTAAAGAGCAGGAAAAAACAGCAGCCAACAAATCTGATGGTAGAAGAAAGAAGATATAACATTTCCTACAGACAGGCAAGGCTTGCACAGAAGAGACCAAGAGATTAGAACTGGCCAATGATTGTGCCTTACTCCAGGATGGCAAACTGAATACTAGTCAGCTTTTGAGACACAGTAACATTTACCCATTAGGAGTGGATCATATCCTGGCTGGTGACATCCAAGCAGAAAGTAACAAATGGGGGAAAAAATTCTCAAGTTATTTGTCTTAGATGATCTCAAGATCGTAAAATCTGAAAGACATCCAACTCAGAGGCCTAGCTTGGTTTTTAAAGATGGGTAACTGCAGTTTCCATTGAGATTCTGTTGTACTACTAAAGAAAACCCAAACAAAACAATTTCTTTCCCTCACATAAATGACTCAACACAAAAGATTTCTCTAGCTTTTTACACTACTTTTATTTGTTCAGAATATCAAGTCACCACTACCTGAAAGCTACAGAGACTCTCACTGAGAGGAAACCAGCAATTGAAAATACATTACTTCCTCAGAATGATGAATAATTTATATCTTACTTGCTTTGTTGCCACTGAAATGGTAAGCGGCATGAATAAATCCTCATTACTAAGGCATACAGTCATGCTGCATTGTCTCAGACAGCTACTGCTGTATGAAAACACAGCCTTAACTCCATAGCCAGCACTTAACTTTTACTATTTGCCTATCCACACCAGTATCAGCTTGATTTACCAGTAACTGACTGCTTTAAGAACCATTTACACGTGACGGAACTCCTGCATCTGCCCAATTGAATGGTTGCTGAAATACACTGAAGAATTGAAAACTGGTTTTGACGCACAATACTTATAAAAATGGTTGATAAATATGAAGTTAGATTCTTTTGTACCATATTCTGTTCCTTTGAATTCTTATTTGGAGGCACGTACCTGCATTTGCATTCATACCTTTCATTTACATCCACCTTTCATTACATCCATCCACAGTATCATTCTTTCTTAGCTATTGTTTGCTTCTTCAACATTCAGTTAAATTTTACTGTTATTCAGCTCCTACCTGTCTCTGCCTTTCATATCCTCCCACGCTCAACACTCTTTTGTCTACATACTCTGTTTTATCTCTGAAACAGCAGTATCTTCTGGTTTTGCATTTAACCTGCTGAAATCTTACATGGCACTTAGGAAACTCTAGGCGAATAATAACGTATTAAAATGAAAACTTAAACATGTTGCGAATGAGTTGAATTGTTCCTTGTGGATCACAACATTTCAAATGTTTCATGTTTTTTAATCTTTATTGTATTACAAGAGCCTAACATTACTTTTAGACTCTAGTTAACAATGGAAATGTTCTGTGTGAATGCAGGCATTTACACTGATCACAGTGAACTCATAAATGCCACTGTAAGTCACATACCTGACAAGCAGGGTCCAGATCCATTTTTCGTCTAAGGAACTTCTCCACATGTCCAATTGTTGCCTCTCCAGAAACACGCACAAACTTCTTTTCCAAAGGCTGCAAAGAATAAACATAAGATTTTAGGGTAATGTACATTTTCAGCCATCATCCCCTGAAAACCCCAAACCCAAGTGAAAGCCCAAAAACAGAGGGAGACAGCTTAAACTTTTGGACCTTTCTCTGACCTACTTCTAGATTACCTCATATGGAAAGAACTAAATATGTATTAAGACTCCAGGGTCAAACTTCCTGCTGTTTAAGACAACATTTAAAAATAACCACCTACTGACTTCAGTCCCATTTCACTTTGAAGTACCAGGGAATGATACTTCCTATTAATTCTGCATAGAAATCAGTATAACACAGCATTTTAAGAACTTCTCCCCCACAAGTATTTACTCATCAGAAGCACACGAACTGTTTCCTAAGGTTTCCTTATTTTCCCCAAATCAGGCCTGTGTGCCAAACACAATTTAGATAATCAAACCAAGTTATCTTATAACACAATGAGCTTAAGTCCTTCAGCATTCTAGAAGTATCATGGCTTGGGCTGGAACTAACTTAATAATCCATAAAATTCCAGAATCAATTAAAAGATACTACTATGCAGAACACAAGGGCAAGAGTCTGAAGTCTTTTCATATTGTTTCTAAATACTTTCACAGCAAGAACTGCAACAAGAAGACATTGTTATGCCAGCCTCAAAAATGTTAATATATCTCTCTTCTACGGATAAAAATTTAAGCAGCTGACTGGCGACATGGGCAGCTAAGCAAAGAGGCACAGAGGCAGCACAGATGACTGCATTTGGTGTGATAAATGGATTATTTCTTGTGTCAACTAATTGGATTTTTACGTTGACTTCTGAACAGCTGTGATTTACTATCATGGTTCATCATATTCTTTCGGCTTGAAAGAACGGTCATAGGGTCATGGACTACCCTTGAATTCAATCATGAATTTAAATACATATCCATGATAACTGTGGTTTTGGAACAATAGTTTTATTTATTCATGCACAAGAGCTAGAAAAAAGTCAGATCCGATCTAGAGAATTAATCTGCTGCAAGCTTGATGATGCTGAATTTATACTTGCTGCATGTATAAATCACAGTTTATGGCCACAGATCTCATAACCTGTTTTCGCCTCACCATCTCCACTTAAAAATACGCAACCAATCAAAAATATTCCTACTAACTCTACCAGTTAGGTATCTCTTAGATTGTATTTTTCTGTGCCTTTCCATCTTTTGAATCCTACAATTCCAATACAATAAAAGATTAAATGCAACGTATACCGAATAATTTTAAATTATCTCTCTCCCTTGCCCTTGAATAGTCTTGTTCTCTAAATATTTAGTCAAAATAGTGGCATGACACACCCTGAGCATCTCTAACTACAGCATATGAAATTGTGAAGGCAGTAAACAATGTCCAGTTCCTCTATGAATTTGTATGGAAACAGCTTAGCAAGAAGAGCTATATTGGAAGAAGAGCCATATTCTTTAGCAAGGATCAGGAATGCTATTTCTTGTTTAGCACAACGGCCACTGTTCAGACAACAAACTTTGTTAGCGAAGGGATGAAGAATAAGCTTTCTGCTGGCTAAAGCAGAGTGCAGTCCAGACAATCTGTATATTTTTTGTTATACGTTTAAGTGCATAACAATTTATTTTACCTCAGGCTGTGCTTTCTCTGAATAACCCGTGAAAGCTTTCCACTAAGACTAGAGAGTCTTCCTCAAAACCCAGTATTTTAAGCAGTGTCTACACCTTTTTCAGGATTCCAATAAAAGTCACCGTAGCACACCTTTTGGAGAGATATGCAATAATAAGAAGCTAAAATCATCCTGGTGAAATTTCATTGTCACTTTCATTCTCCTATCAAAACTTCAATTATGTAACCTCAGAAGCATTCTCTTCCTATTCTGTGATGATATATAATAATAGGTTTGAAAGTACACTGTAATCTAAAGTTGATTATGATGATGAAAGTTCAGACTGCACTCAGTGCAAAAAATCCCAAACTAAATTAAATACATTCAGGTTATACGTATTTCTGAAGTAAATCATAAGCGAAAAATTCAAATAGCATCTGTACCTTAAAATTCCCTGTGCCTTCATTAGCTCTGAAAAACAAGAGAAGAGTAAACACAATCAATATTGCTAAGGTTCACAGTTATTAACACCCTAATGCTCTTATTATAATATAGTGACTGATTTAATAGCCTGGCACATCAAGCTTACTTCCTGAATCGGGCTCTTCCTCTCATTAATCTCTAATTCATGAAATAATAGTATATGAATTTATATATGTATCTTTTTCTCCTACCCTTTATTTGGTACTCCATTTTTCTTGTGAATTCAGCTATTTATGACTTTCAGGTTTGTCTACAGGAAATGGAAAAAAACCCCCAAAACACACAGCCTAAAGCCATTTTTAAACACAACATAACATTCTTTTTCACCTGAGTAGGTTGTAATATTAATGCTGCTTAAACATCCATACTTCATCATCCTTGATATTTGGAACTTTAACAGACAGTACCTAAGAAGCGGCTGCCAGGACATGCCCCAACCACCGAAAAAGCTTCCTGGGCCAGCTGTTGGTTTTCTAGACTATTTATATCACAGGATTAACACTAACGCTATCTAGGAACTCAGAAAAACAGCAGCTGTTTCTCTGGAAGGTGAAATACACACAAAGGTGGCGAATGACCAAATTCCCAGCTGGCTTTAACAGAGGTTGATTTGCACAATCTGAGCATGTGATCTAGTACTGATCATCTACACTCCACACCTCCCATCTTATAGTGCAACATGTACATGTCTCAATCGATTAAACCTAATTCATGACGTTTCACTATTCTTGCATTGCATTAGCAAGAATGTACATATGAGACAGGAAAAAAAATGCAGGATTTCACTGTGCTGGAGAGGGCAAAAAACAAACGTCACTATAAATCACCTATACTTCTACTGATCATTTGATATAGCAAACAAATGCATTTGCAATGTTTGTGCAGATCACACATTAGCATGGCACTTCAAGTTACTGTAATCGAGTATCTCTACCTCTGAATATGTATCAGAGTTAAGTAAAACTATCATCAAATTCTGCCACTGAAATGAAAATTGAAGTTACTAAGAAACAAACATAGAAAAGCTTTTCCACTACAGCAGTAGAAATTTTCATTGATACAGTTTCACAGCCACAGGTGACTAGATTATATACTCCAGTCACAATATAGTCTCAGAATTTCAAAGTAACAATATCTGTTGGCTGATCAAACTCATTCCAAGTCTTCTTTATTCAAAAAGCTTTCTTAATCTCTCATCACCAAAATAAAACCTTTGATTTTGACCACTGAAAAGGAGAACATTAACCTTTAAACATGTAAAGTATAAAAGATGATCAAAGGTTAAAAAAGTCACTAAAATAAAATACAAAGTAGATGCTGTTAAAGCACCATCTTCCTCTTTTTTTTGTTGGATACATATACAAGTAACAAAACCACAGTGGACAGTTTCACATAGTATAGATGGCATTTGCACAATAGTACCTGCTTTATTGCCAACACTGGAATGGAAGCTTCAAATGAAACTACCAGGAAAACAAATACAAGAATGCAGATTCAAAAATGATCTTGTTGATTTGACAGACAGGCATGTTTACTAGTTTTGAGGTCTAAATTTCTTTGGATAATTAAAAAACAAACCAAAACAAATACCTGCCAAAAATCACAGGAGGAGGGGGAAGTAAACAGGAGCATTCACAGTGGAGATCTAAATCGAAGTACTTTCACTACAGTGAGTTCAAACTGCATCTAATCCTGCAGTCAAGACAACCCAAGTGTTCCAGCCTGAAAGGGACATCCCTGAAAGTAGTATGATTCCTGTATTTTAACGTCATTTTACAGTGACATGATCATTGAGAAAGCAGAAGGGCTGATGGTACAAAGTGTGCTCCCTCTGCCACCTGCTGGGCCAGCACAGCAGTGGCTGGCACCCACCATGGGTCTCATCATGGGCATCCTTCAAACTCTATCTGGGTGGCAACTCCATGAGACACAGTCACAGTCAAGGCAACAAAATAACAGCATATAGGTTCCTAACCCAACATACATGTAGGGCAGATGGCTCCAAGACCTTCTCTTTTCTTCCTGCTGTCCCACTCCTCATGTATTTAAAGACATAGAGAAGCCATGTGATGGTCAACACAAAAATAAAGCCAATAGAACAAAAAAACACACACCTACCAGACCAAAATTTACCCATGGAGGAAGTATGTTCTGAACTCGGAATAAAATGAGACACAGGGGAGACACTGGATGTAACATATAAAAAGACTAGGACATGATGTCTACAAAGAATGAGGTTGAATTTCTGAGGGCTTAATTTTACATCATTTATATAATAGTTTCCTATGATTACATACTGGAGTCTCTGAACAGTTAAAAGTCAGACCAGAAGTAGGCACAATCTGGTAGAGGCGTAGAAGGAGAGTCAAGCCATTTCTCCCTGCAACTGAGGTTCTACACTGTGTGATGCTTCCAGAGTAGTTGCAGCTTTCAATCCTTTCTCAATTACCCTCTCTCATGTAACATAACATCTAACATATAAATCTGCAAATTGCCAAAGCAATACAATTTCTCCTTCTTGTGTTCCTGAAAACAACTCAAGTGTTTGGGCTACATTTCCCCCTGACATCCTATGACTAAATGTAACTCACCATACAAAAGCTTCAGCAAAATTCATTAAAGTCTGAGAAACTGTCAGGCAAACTTAACAGAGGACCACATTACTACCCCCCACCTACAACCTATAGAGGAACACTACTTTTGCTGCCCAGGTTGCAGTTGTAGTCCAGGAGTTACATGACCAAATCCCAGCATAGCTAGCATTAGTGGTACTGACCCCTACAGGAATCAGGGAAATAAGGAGACACTATTTCATCAGTTTACTGAATGGTTTAAAATGAAACAAACACATGTAAATTTTAAAACTATACTTTTTAGGAAACTATTTTTATAGGAAGACACACCTTACAAATTTAAACATGTTCAACATCTAGCTATGCATACTTGGCTGTCACTACTACAAGCTGAAAACAGCTTCCCATTGCTACTTGAGATGGAAAAGAAACACACATTTAATGAAAACTAAGAGCAAGTTAATGGTCCAACACGTATCAGCAGCACCCTCACTTCAGCTGCTTGCTCTTAAATTTTCCCACAACTCACCCAATGAACTCCAGAAGTATGGAAATGTCAAGCTCTGGTGGGATCCGGAACACAGAGCCCAGAACTTTTCGAGGTCTTCCTCTGCTCACTGGAACTGGCTGTGGGACAGCTAAAATATTCAAACAGCCAAAATGCAAACACAGCTTGAAATAAAAGCAGCTTAAGATGCTCACATGCACCAAGCAAAACAGATGAGCACATAAGGAAAAAAAGCCCATGTAATTAATCCTTTTTTTTAAATTACTAAATCAGCTCTTTATATATTTCATGCTGTGTTTCTGAACCAGCATTTTATTAGCTTTCAGTATGGCACTCCTCCAAAGAGCTGTTTATTTGATAGTAAGACAAAAAATAATTAGAATAATCCTTCATCTGTCCACAGACTTTGAAGTTCTTATTTTTACAGACATTCCTTTATAACGTCTATAGTTTATTAAGGGCCATAAAATAAAGTTAACACACACGTGATCTATATTTCCTGGTTAAGGCAAAACGCAATGTTTAAAAAACAACCCACAAGCCAACCACAATCTGGGTTCAAGTATTGCCAGTTCCATCTATTTTGTAATCTGAGAACTGTTACAAGGTACACGAATCAGACTACCATGAAACCCCTATTTCCAATACTACATATCTTCTTTAGTTGTGAGCTAGTATTTCAAGGAAAGCCCAAGAATAAATGGCATATTAAATATTTCCTTAACAGTGTCCTCTAAAGTGATTACAGCTCACCTGGTTTGGGCACTTCTAATCCTCTTTCTTTATAGAAGTCATGCATTTGCTTTTTCTCCCCTGAAAAAAAGTAAACACAACATAATACAGAACAGATTGAAATGTTATTTCAGACGCTGAGAATATCCAAATAGTTTCCAATGGTCAGAGCAGTAAAAACTTTCAAGTTCCTACAGACATTCACAATCACTAGTATTCCATATGAGGCTGGGACACTTAAGATACCCAGACTAAGAGTTTGTTAGTAAAAACTGGGAAGAAATCAGAGAAACTGGTGATAAATCATACTGAAATAGCTGCAAAAACTAGTATCCTTCTGGCTGTCATGACTCTATTTTTATACCATCTTTAGTCCATATATATCCACCGCATGTGTATATTTCACTCAGTCCACCCAAGTGGATTGTGCAGATCTATTTGCTCCCAAAGTTCAAGGTAAATGACATGAGACCATGAGCACATCTAAAAATCAGAAAAATAAATGTGGCAGTGAGGAACAAATAAAAGCATTTGAAGGAGTCAGTCTTAGCAACTTTTTTTCAACTGAGCCAAGTGAACTTATTAGAAGGAATTATATTTTCTGTACTTATACAAAAATATGACACATGACAATTATTATCTGGATGTTTATGTGGATATGGTGTTTGATATGAAACCCGTGTTTCATAGGATACATACCACTATCCATAATAGCATGTAGCAACCAGAAAGATGCCAGTTGTTACAACTAATTGATGAAGATTTATAACCAATCATTACAAAGCAATTTTAAAGAGTCCAGAGTAGAAACAGGGCTTTGAATTAATCTGTTTTCTGTCCAGTCTTTTAAATCTCTAGATGGCAATAAAAAAAGAAAGAGACTTACTTTCCTCCAAATTGACGACTAATTTATAAACTATGTCTTGCAGTTGCCGGTCCAGCCTATTAAAGAGAAAAAAAAGAAAGTGTCTTTGGTGCAATACAGAATGGCTTTCATTAAATGGTAACAGAGATGCCAAACACACTGTTGAAATGTGACACCCAAAGAGAAGGATGACAGAGCAACAACTCCCTATCTGTCTATATTCATGTCCTGACAGCAGAGCTCCAACAGAAGCCATGTAAAGTTAAAAGCATCAGCCTTCCAAGAACTCATGTACAGTTCGAGAAACTGAATTTTCAGAGTTAGTAAGCATACTATGCCAACAAAACTTTGTTTGAAAGTAAATCAAAGAACATAGTTAAGATCGCCTATCACTTGTAGCACTGAGCAAATGCATAAAAATAGCTGGGCAGTGGGAACAAATCCTAGAAAGGGATACAAACTAGATAAAACAAATTGAGCATTTAATCCTCACTGTCGAGATTAAACTTATATAAACAAAAACCACAATGTATTTCTTGTAACTCTTCCTTCATTTGAAATGGGAAAGCACTACAAGTCTGTAAACCAAAACATTTAAAAGCAAGCACCCGAACTTGAAAAACACAAACTACCCCAAAACTATAAAAATGGCATGAACTTATTACCTGATATTATAAAGAGGTTGTGTCTGATGTACAACGATATTGCATTTTGGACATCTGTTGCTATAGTAGAAGTGTCTCACTATGCAGCTTTTACAAACTGTAAAGAAAAGAAACCCCATAGAAGTTACACATCATTACACAATACCATCTATTTAAGCAAGAGGAGCAATTACACTCAGACTTCTCAAAGTTTGTCAGAGACAAAATTAAGCAATTTGTTCAACTCAGGTAAACAGCAGCTCTCTGCTGTTTTCACTGTACATGTATTTTAAAAATTTGGTAGGAAAGCTACTAAGTGGAAATACCTAGAATAAATAACCTACTATCAATTCAGCTCTGTATGAGCCTGAACACATCAAACCTTTCTGTAACATTTACCAGGAAACCGAGAGAGACCACCACAGCTGTATTTGCAACATTATGCTGTCCTTACTGACAGTTGTGCATTTTCCAAAATTACGAACTGTGCTGAATGTTACATGGTAGATACCAAATTTGTAAGCAGTGCCCCATGAAAGGGGAGGTTGGGGGCGGGAAGGCAAGTTCTTCCTCTGTTAGTGGCTGGAAGGACTAGGAAGCTGTGATTCCTTGATTCAGGTAGGAACGTGGGAGTAGCAGAAAGTGCCAACTTCACAGGAAGTTTTATTAGGTATGAGAAAAAATAGTTGTGTTAGCAATGGAAAAACTGTTAACACAAGGATTGAGGGAAAAATAACAAGAGCACGAAATGTTTTTTATTATCCAAATACTTCTACTCATCAGACTATAGACTAATTGCTCCATGGGTGCATATAACCTGGCTGTGCCTGAACCAATACACTTCCACACAGCTGCTTACTTAGTTTTGTGAATTTACACGCTCATACCAACAACAGTTTAGGAAACTCTCTAGTACCTTGTGAGCAAAGCGTCTAAACCTTTTCTCAGTTACATACTCAAATTCCTAGAGCCTACTTAAAACCAAATAGTTAAAAAATCCCCCCCAAAACAGTAGCTCTGTTTTTGTTTTATTTGGGCTTTATCTTTCCCTACCTCTTAACCTGGGAAACTAAGCTGACTCCATGATTGATGGATTGCAAGATTTTCTGATGCTTAAAACATCCACAACTATATTTTCCTTAAGGAACTGTACAAACACAGCACATGTCCCTGCAAACAGAGAATTATATTTGTGAAGCCAGAACATCTCAACAGCTGATTTTTGTTTGAATTTGTAACTAAACTCTCAGAATGAAAACACTGATACTTACAGGTGTGCAGACATTCTGTAATGGTTGTAGCATCAATAAAGTAACCTTTGCAGATGGAACACAGGATGTAAGGGGTCAACTCTGCGAGGTTTATCATACGCTACAAAGACATTTTGTAAGAGTTTCAATACACATGCTAAGTCATGAAATTTCCACAGCCTTAAACCAGGCAAAAAATCCACGTCAACATGCTACAGAAATGGGTTTTCCTAAGATGTCAATCAATCAATCCTCATGCACAGCTCTTTTCTGAACACTTTCATCTAGTTTTCTGAATTGACATTTCTGTGAATGGCAATCCAATGTGTTTCAGGAATTACATCTGAAAAGTAAACCATAAATAATCCCTTTGGGAAAAGTTCTTTTGGATAAACTGTTTAACAGAATATCAAATAATCAGCAAGCTTGAAGTGGATACTGGTAGCACATAGTATCATATTTTCATGTTGGAAGTCCGCTTTTGCAAAAAAGAACAGATTTATTCTATAGTAATGATCTGAAATCTGTCTGAAAAAGGAAACATGTTAGATTTTTACATTGTTTCCTCTAGTCTCAAAGCCAGACTAAAGGGCTTTATTTCCCTCAGTGATACCACTCACTTTGTCCACATGCCACTGTTTCATAGAATCATAAATCAACTAGATTGGAAAAGACATTTAAGATCAAGTTCAACTTGATCCCCCACGACTGCCAAGTCCACCACTAAGCCACGTTACTGAGGGCCTCATCTACTTTTTTAGAAGTGTTTTTTAACACTTCCAGGGACACCGATTCCACCACTTCCCTGGGCTGCCTGTTCCAATGCCTGATCACACCCTTTTGGTTAAGAAATTTTTCCTACTATCCAATATAAACCTCCCCTGGTGCAGCTTGAGGCTGTTACCCCTTGTCCTATCTCCTGTTACTCGGGAGAAAAGACTGACCCCCACCTCACTACAACCTCCTTTCGGGTAGTTGTAAAGCAATAAGGTCCTCCCTGACCCTTCTCCAGACTAACACCCCGGTTCCTTCAGCCAATCCTCAGACTTATTCTCCAGACCCTTCACCAGCCTCGTTGTCCTTCTCTGAACATTCCCTCTACCACCCTCTCAGCTATGCCAAGAGTTTGTAAGTCCTTCATTTAAGTAAGACAGATAAAATTAACTCAGGTAATACAAAATAATAAAAAGCCTACTACCACGCAGATTACGTTGCCTAGGCAGGGGTCCAGATTCGCACCTACAACTTCCTAAAACATCAAACTTGACGTCCACTGCTTTATAGAGGACCTGGCTGACAACCGCGGGCTGTTGCAGACGCGGGGCCTCGCTGAAGACACAGCGCTTCACACCCAGCCGCATCCCCACCGCAGGGCG